GCCCCATATATTAATATAAATCGCATTAATCTTAATATATTATTGGATTAATGCTTCCTTTTTGTATCCATCAAAATATATTAGATTATATTATTCTGGCAGTCTTTTATATTAATCTTTATTAATAATTTTCAGTGGTCGCCGTGATTGGCTGCATTCTTCCAAGCCATGACCGACCCGGAGCGCTCGGCGCTTGACGAGGCGTCCTCTGACCACGGGGAAGACGTCGTGGAGTTCGACCAGCACGGCATTCCGGTCACTGTTGGTCATACGGTGAGCGGGGTTGTGCCAGTGTGGACCTACATCCACAAGCTCGATAACAACCAAGCGTACAGGAACAAGACGTTCACGCATGTGTGTACCGTGTGCACGCGGGACGTTGCAACGCGCAAGGGACCAGTCGACGCCTGGAAGACAGGCCTTGTTACCACGGTCAATACGAGCAATGCCCACAAGCACATGACAAATGCGCACAAGACGCACCCGTTCTCTGTCGACTACATGAAGGCCAAACTCGAGAAGGCGGTCAAGCGAGTTGCCGACTTTGACGCTGGTCAAGACGCGGCTCCGCCCAAGAAGCGTATGACGCAGCCGACATTGCAGACAACAATAGCCAAGGCAGCCCGGGACGACGGCACCATCCTCGCATCACGATGGCTCATCGCTAACGGTACCATCCAGCGCGACTTCACTGTCGATCCAACTTGAATAACATGTCTAGGTCTCGCGTTTAACATTATCGACAACGACCAGTTCCGTACTTTTGTCGCTTCGCTCGGCGGCAAGGCGCCAACTCGGGCATCGTACAACGAAATCACTGACGCCGAGTATGCCAACTTTATGACCATTGTGGCAAAAGCGCTGCATGACACGTTTGCGCAGCAGCGACGACGACGACGACATCGACGATGCCTCCCTCAACATGCGTGCCGTCAGTGTAGACGCCGGCGCAGGCGACCGAGCCGAAGACATGCTGGCAACAGAGGCCACGAAGGTGCTCGATGCGTGGATTGCTCTGTCCATCGACTGGACTACGCACACGAAGGCCAATGTCATGGACGCCAAGGGCGTAGCCTACGACATGTGGAAGTTGTACAAGGAAGTCGATGTTCTCAAGTGGTTCAAGGACGTCGGCCAGGTGCATTTTCCAAGCATCGCTATCTCAGCCCGCGTGTATCTCGCAAAACTGATGTCGAACGCGTTTCAAGAGCGCGTTTTTTCGACTGTCAGCAACATTGTGACGGCAAAGCGCAACGCCGGTGACCCCGCTCGCGTGGGGAAGCTCATTGTGCTCAAGCAAAAGTGGACTGGCGACCGCCCTGACACGGATGCTAAGTAGTGTCCAATATTAGCGTCAATATTATATAATATATTAATATATTAATGTTGTCCTACGAGTCACTGCTGGAAATATTAACCTAAATTAATAGGACCACTTGTCGCTCGACTAATCTATTAATACTGCCCAAATTTGGGTTAATATCGACCTCTGCTGCCACGGGACGTTTCGATTGGCTGTTACCTTTTCTGCCTCGTCTACGCTCTTTAGCGGCAGCATAACTTCACCGCTATAGAGGCCTCCTATAGCGGCAGACCTCGATTTTTTAGCGATAGCCATAACTATAGCGGTGCGTTGGACCACATTTTCACCGCTATAACACCATGCGACATGCAATAACAAGCGTGACAGTTATAGATTAGCTATAGCGGCACCGCGTTGGAGATGCTCTAATAGTGCTGTGCTAACGGAGTTACGGTGCGCGGCGACTG